TATGCAAGTGATAAAGCTACCTATGGAATGCTTAGTTGTTATTATGAAAAGGAAGACTCCTATTAAGTCAGTGGATGCTTTTATGAGGTTGTATTAGTTAGTAATATGTTTTATTAGAACTTACTGGTGTTTAGGAGACTCTGGGGAATTTTTAATTCTCATGTGGGATTGTGTCAGGCTTTCCATTCTAACACACATTCCAGAGACAAGCACAGAGCTGTAGAATTTCTCTTTGAACACAAAATTCATCCAGTGATGTTTAGTTCTTTCATTGTAGCCTCCTTCTGAAGAAATAAAAACAGGTGAAGATGAAGATGAGGAAGATAATGATGCTTTATTAAAGGAAAACAATGAAAGTAAGATTTGCATATTCTCAGTCTTTTCAGTTTTTCTCTTGATGTGTATTGCAGAATCTGTGTTTTAACATAGTTTCCACTGAGGACCATCAGTCCTGCTTACCCCAGTGCATTTGCACCAAAAAGCACAGCCTTTTTGGGACACAGGGCACCAGGAGCAGCCTCCCAGTGTCCTGGCCTGCAATGCTGAAAGCTTCCAACCTGTTGGATTAGCACTTCCACTAGGAGCCTCTTTCACCTTTTCTGCTATGTGGTCTATGTGGCCAGTGTCACTGGGTGTTCATGGCTGAAATGTCAGCTGTGTAATAGCCTGTGTGAGTGCTCCTCACCCATTTTCCTGTTCTCTCTGCCCTTTAATCACTGGGCTAAGCACTTTTCCCCTAGCCCATCCTGGGGTGGTGGGAACTGTGGGACTTTCAAAAATGGATATATTCCAGCTCTGAGGTCTTTACTTCCTCTTCATTTAAAATACCTTGAAGGCAAAAGTTTCTTTGGGAGAAGAGCAACCTTTCTAACAAACATCATCTCACTCATTTTTCTCCACAATCCATGTCTGTTTGTCTCTTGCCTTTAACCCTGGCATGTCCTGCTCCTAGGTGTCCTGCCCCATCTCCTTTTGTCTGTGAGTCTGCCCTCTTCCATCCTCGTTCATGCCTTCATCTCACAGCACCTTCTCATTTGTGGGTTTTAACCCTGTGTCCCAGCTCCTGGATCCAGCATGGGTGGATGGGATAAGCAGGAAGACAAACACTGGGTACCTCTGGCAGCTGAGGGTACCTCTTGCAAGCTGTTTTCTGTCAGTGAAAAGCCACCTGTGGGCCTCTGTGAATCTCTCTCCTGTTTCCTTTTTCCATCCATCACTTGACCTTCTCCACAATCTCCTTTGCAATAGCAGAGAAGTTCTTTCCTCTTCAGCTTAATGCTAGTTCACACAGCCTTTGTGGTGTCACTGTGTGGGATTTACATCCTTCTTTAAATCTTGTCTTAAAGCAGTGCTGGCAGAGCTGTGGTCTGATGTGCTTAGAACATAAGGGAAATTATCTGAGGACTTTTATTGCTTTGTTGTTCTGCATCTTTTGTCCTTTCCCTCAAAGTGGCTTTAGTTCAGATAAATGACTGTGACTGATAAGCACTGGAGAGACTTGAAATTTCTACTCTGTGCCAACTGTCTCTTCAGGTGGCACAAGAAGGGACTAAATTTTAATAAGATTATTTTTAATGAAATCTATTTTATTTAAAAATTAGGAATATTATTGATTTCTCTATGTATTTCAGTTGTGTGAAATTTCTACTCCGTGCCAACTGTCTCTTCAGGTGGCACAAGAAGGGACTAATTTTTTATAAGATTATTTTTTAATGAAATCTGTTTTATTTAAAAATTAGGAATATTATTAATTTTTCTATGTATTTCAGTTGTGGTTTTTTTCTTTAAAATTGTGAAATAAACATGAGTGGTAAGCCGTAGATTGTAGACCATGATAAGCTATGAATGTGCAAACCCATCTGTAATCCCTGTAGCACTTGGCTCCTCAGCAGAGCCTAGTGTTCCATGGTTTTTATGTCAATGCCAGAATGACAAAAAATTCCTTAAAGTACTGACTACACATGAAATTTACTGTCATAGCCCTGTTGCCAATAGGAACATGAGAAAAAACTGAATGAAACTGGGTTTGTTTGGGTTTCTTTACCTGGGCTGACTGAGTAAGGTGACTAAAAAATTTCAACTAAATTTTAATAAGATTATTTTTAATGAAATCTATTTTATTTAAAAATTAGGAATATTATTGATTTCTCTATGTATTTCAGTTGTGTTTTTTTTCTTTAAAATTGTGAAATAAACATGAGTGGTAAGCCGTAGATTGTAGACCATGATAAGCTATGAATGTGCAAACCCATCTGTAATCCCTGTAGCACTTGGCTCCTCAGCAGAGCCTAGTGTTCCATGGTTTTTATGTCAATGCCAGAATGACAAAAAATTCCTTAAAGTACTGACTACACATGAAATTTACTGTCATAGCCCTGTTGCCAATAGGAACATGAGAAAAAACTGAATGAAACTGGGTTTGTTTGGGTTTCTTTACCTGGGCTGGCTGAACTAAGGCGACTAAAAAATTTCGAAACACAGCTAAATGTTAAAGATTGCTCTATATTTTAGTGTTATAATTGACTTGTGTTGATAGCTGTAGGCTGTCTGTCAAAATCCTTGTTTTCATTTGGAGGAGGCAGGTAAACACCTGTGAAAATCTGCTCTTGGAGCTCAGGTAGGTTTGGAAAGCTGCAGGAAAGGTGTAAGTCAGTCAGTAAATAAACAGAGGCTCTAAAATTGGACCAATCAGGGAAGATTCATTTGCAGTGTCTGGAGCTGTTCCCTGTGTCTCACTGGTTCCTTCTCTGTTTTGCCCAGGTCCAGAGGTGCAACGGGACAAAGCCATGACGGGCGAGCAGATCGAGTCCTTCGCCAGCAGGCTGGGGGAGCAGTGGAAGGCCTTGGCCCCCTACTTGGAGATGAAGGAATCCGATATCCGGCAGATTGAGCTGGACAGCGAGGATGTGAAGATGAGAGCCAAGCAGCTGCTGGTGGCCTGGCAGGATCAGGAGGGCACTCATGCCACCCCTGAGAACCTGATCGCGGCGCTGACCAAAGCCGGGCTCGGGGACCTGGCCGAAAGCCTCAGCAACGACACCGAAGGCAGCAGCTAACTCGCCTCTCATGCCAACTGAGTGACTTGGGGCTGGGGTGTTGGTAATTGTGACTCTTCTGGTGCTTGCCATTGATAATTGTTACTTTTGTCGCTAGGTAACAGATTTTTGATAGGTATTTTATGTTCAGTAAATGATATAAAGCTTTTTAATATACTGTTGGATTGTCCAGATTGTCTGAGAACAGGATTAGTCGCCCTGGCCTGGAACTAGGAAGCTTCATCTTTAGTGGTAGACCATGAAGGGGAGGATAGAGAGTCCTGGCAGCTTTTGGGGCAGGCTCTGGGACAGTTTGGCACCAGCAGAACTCGGGTTGCTCCCACTGGGCAGAGAATTGGCAAGCTCATTCCTCAGAGCAGGGAAGGACTGTGTGTGAAGGACTTTGGAGTCACATTTTGAGGTGATGGGAGCTGAGGACTGTCAAAACCTAGTAGAGGTAGGACTGTCAAAAACTGGTAGAGGTAAAATAGAAGGGTTGTGATGGTGCTCCAAGGCTTCCAGGGAAGGAGCGCTGTCCTGCTCTCCCACTGAAGCACTGGTTCAGTTAATGATCATGAGATTTCCATACTGATTTTTGTTAATGATTATTTTTAGTGTCTCATTCTTTGGCTGTGTAGGAACACCCCTGAGTAGTAAACAAATAATTATTTTTTTTGTCACAGGTTACTGTGGAGGTTTCATTTTAAGGCTGTGGTTGTCTCTAGATGGGTACAAAAAGCTGTTTTCTCTCAAACTGTGAGATATCTTTGTGGTGTTAAGTGGCAGCTGGCTACAACTTGTTCTGTGGCTAGTTTGTTTTTCTGTCACTGAACTCTTTTCTGTATTTCTTCAGCTATTCACTGATAGCTGTGAATTTCCAGCATGATTAGCTACCATGTCAATAGAGAGTTCCTGCCTGCCGAGCCATTAATGAGTTTCGTGCCTGCTGCCCCACTTCACACTTAAATGAGATCAGGAATTTGATTAGAGTGCTTCACTGAAGGTTGGTAGGGGCAGAGATACAGGAAAATTATTGGAAATAATAGCCCAGGTCTTAGTTCCTGCTGCAGGTAGGGATTGGTAGAAGGTATGAACTTCAGCAGTTTCAGCTGGTTAAGGGACTTGAGCATATTGCAAGTGGAACTGTGCAGCTGTGACTGACAGCTTCAGTGCTGGGAAGGCTGAGGATGACAGTGGATGTAGTCCCACAACGCAGCAACCAGGCATGGACACCATCCCTCCTTCCCCTGTAACAGGATGCAGAACAAGAATTTAACCCTGGAGGAGCCTGTAGTGTTTCTGTGGGGCCTGCAGGAACAGATCCAGTCCTGTCAGGGGCCTTCCTCAATGGGCAGAACTTGCCATGAAGCATCGTTCCACTTACAATACAGCCCCAGGCCTTTGGTGTGCTCCCAGGTGAAGCTGTGCAGGGAAGGTGGCACTGGAGTAACGATTGCAAGGCAGAAGAGCTATGTGTGACAGCCACAGCTGATGCCAGTGTCCCCAGGGAAGGGTAAAAGGACCCTTTCTGATCAAGTGAGGCACAGGCAAACTCACCACCCTGCCAACAGAAGTGAAAGTATTTTTTATGAATGTGGAACAGCTCTTTCAGAAGGCACTGGGACACATCAACATTGGGAATCTGTACATGGAGGGGGGAGGGGCTTGATGACATTGATAGTGCTTTTTGGGCTGTAGCCAGTGCTGAAAGGCTTTTTTTACAGCAGTCACATCCAGTTACTGCAGAAGGTCCTGTAAATAATAAGCAAAGCCCAGTTTTGCAGCCACCACACTGGACTTAGCTACTAAGTAATGAGTAACAGGACAGGAGACACATCCCTACAGCTTAAAAAAAAAAGTGACTTTATTCCATGACTGCTTTGAGACATTCATTAGTGGTGGCCCAAGAAGTGAAAACAAACTGACTACAGTACCAGGACAGGAGCTGTTTTTAATGGAGACACATTGTTGATCACAATTTATTCTGAAATCATGAGATGCCAGCAACAGAACAGACTGAATCAGCAGGTCAGGCTGGACAAATACTTGATTGTAGCCACAGCTGTTGGCTACGGGCAGCAGCACTGAGTTACACAACAAGGCAACGGTTTCTCTTCTACCTTCCTAACAGAACTGCCAGGTAAGGCAAAGGATGGACAGCTACTGAACTGTGGTATAAACCATGCAAGAGTAACAAATGTGAGAGTAGGTGTGTAATAAATACTTGATGACATTAGAGAAGAAGGAGGAGGAGAGGCTCATTAAAAAAAATTATCTTCTGCAAGACATTAAAGCTATTTTAAGTATTGTCACCACCACAGTGGGCAGTCCAGTCCCATAGTGACTAATTGGTACATGGATCAGTTTTAAAACAATAGCCCTCTGCACATGAGAAGGTTTGAACAAAGTATTTATCCACTTGCTAAAGCTCTGGGGTTAAAGAAGTGATCAGTAATCAACATTTATTTCACACCTAGGCAGAATGGCTAAAACGGAAGACTATTGTTCAGCTGCTTCTTCAACGACTTCAATTCTGCGAGGGCCGTAGAGTAGAACATAAGCTATATGCCAGTCTCCACCCCCAGATAACCTCAAAATGTCTTCAGGTGTAACAATGCTGACTTTGTCATCATCAAATTTAATCCATTCATCTGCAAGGAAAACAAGAGGACCACTTGTAACTTAGGTGCATAAAATTTAAGCTTGCTTAACATCCCCTTTGCTGAAAGGAGCTGTGAAAAGTGGTTAACAGGGCAATTTATTTATTATTTTTTACCTTGTTTCCTTTTAACCCATGACACATAATGCCCAGAGGAACTTGATCTGCCTTGATGAGTTAGCACTGCCTGCAGGTCGTAATAGCCGCAGTTGTTAGAGCCAATATCTGAAGGGGAAAGAAAAAGTGATGTTGAGTCCTGCTTGAACAGCTGCAGTATTTTTAACAGCTCGCAGTCCAGAGATGCATCAGCCAGGCTGCAGCACCATAGCTCTCTGTGCAAAACCCCAGCTACAGCACACTACAAAACCACTGTGAACTAAACCAGCAGCTCTCAGCCACGAGACGACTCTCAGGAAACTGAAGATATTTTGCATTCTCATGAAATAAATATGTACCCATAAGAATTACTGATGTAATGCACAGGGTGAGTGCTTTGGACTTTCAGGCTCCAAGCCCGCCCAAAACTGAGGCAACACCAGCACCACCACAGCACTTTTAGAAGTCCAGTTTAAGTTTTTGTTTGGATTTCAGCCTTCTACCACACACACTGACAAGGCAGCGTGCAAAACAACTGCACATTACATGCAAATGTCTTTTGATGTGCCTGTCTTCTGTTATCACCAACTTGTCAGATGGATGGCAATTATGCCTTTCACTATCTCAACATTTTGGTTTACCTAATCTTTCCATTCCTGTCAGTCTTTGAAGAGTAATTTTCAAAAGCATTAAAGAGACAGGGTTCTCAAAATAGTCCTACCATCAGGTACACTTAAACACAAATAAACAGAAAGTTACTTTAAAGTAGATTTGCTTCCCTGTACTCACCATCAGGAAAAGAAAAGGGTTCATATTTAACTTCTTTCTGTGCACCATCACTTTTACTAGACTAAAAAAGAGAGTAAGTTGAATTAATGTGGAACAGTCTAATAAAAGCTCTATCACAATCACATCAAATCCCAAGTCTCCATTAAATTAAGTACATTTCTAAGTCTAAACATTTTTGTTCAACTTGAAAGCAGTTCATTGCTGTATTTTTTAGGTGGACATACAAAAGCCTTTTCTGAAGAAGACCAGTTTTAAAGCAAATATATAACCATTTTAGCACAACACTGCCTGCAGTGTTCACCCACGAGATTTATGGGTTTGTTTATGAAACAATTCTGCAATTGCAGATTTATTCCTTGGTGAGGGCTTGGTAACAGCAGAAGTGGCAATAAGAAAATACCAGAGACAGACTGTAAGTGCCAATACATTCTGTTCAAAAATAGCACTCTTTCCTTGTTCCCATCTGTGTAAGAGGGGATGCAAGCCTTATCCAAATGCTTAAAAGAATTTGCTATGAGTTAGGCCAGGAAAAATACCAGCAAACTTTAAAAAAATGGCTAAAACATGACAGTTTTAGCTCATTTGCTTTTGTCTTCATTAAAGACAGGGAAGTCAATCTTAGAATTATGTAGACAGGATAAGATATGAGACTATTTTCCAAGTTTTTACAGTTCTGACTTTAAGCTCAGTAGTACATGTACTCTAATTTTACCAGTCAGGCACACAGCAGTGCCTTGTACAACCCTTTCCAGCTGCTGAACAGGGAACAGCTTTCTACACTCCACTGAAGAAGGAGCAGCCACCAAACAGTAATATTTGAAGACAGTAATTTTGTGTAACTTACAGAAAAGTTTTAGGCACAGCACTAATAAACAGAAGTGCTACATTTTAATATATTTAATACCTGCTGTCTGACTACAGCATTTAACATTTCTCATCAAGCAAACACACCAAAGGAGATACTGTATTTTCATGAAAATATAGGATAAAAAGATCTAAAGCTCAATACCAAGGAGTTTGCTATGTAAGAAAATAATATATTAAAGGACATGAAGTTTTCTCTAGTCCTTATTAGTACCCCAATTTCAGATGTATGAATTAGTGAAAGTGTCAGAAGACTTACGTTCTTTGGCTGTTGATTTACTTTTTTGTCTTCTAGATCTTTGAATTTTGATCGATAAGAAACCATTTTTTCCTGCAGGTCTGGCGTACACAGCTCATACACATCCAACATAAGAGGAAATTTGACATCCTAGGAAGTAAAAAACAAAGATTTATTAGCATGGTTTGGTACTCCACATTAAAGCATTCTCCCATGGGAAGACCACACAATCAAATTAAATGCAACCCTCTTCAAACTGATGGCAACCTGACCTACTGGGATTCTGGTGACAGTATTTACCAAAAGAACTACAATGCTTTCACAGAAGAATGTCTAATTCAGTATAAATAAACCGCTATAAATTATTATATTCAGTAAAGACTAATAGTAAATCAGATTCTTTATTGTTAGCTGTCATACTTTTACACTATGGAAATACTTATACAGGCCTAAGGGAGAAGAAAAAAGAAGCATGCATGTAGAATGACAGCACAAAATAACATTTTTGCCCGGGTACGATCTAAACTACCTTCTGAAATAGTTAACATAATAACCTTCAATCCTGATTTCACTTCCTCCTCTTGTAAGGAAGGAGCATCTATCATGATGCTCCTCAGGCAGCCTACGAGGTCTGTCGGCCACGGCCAACAGAAAGCAAAACCAGAACATTCAGCTGTTTGCAGCTGGTTCCTGCATTTGTCCATCAGAAAGCCAGACAACTGAAATAACTAATACAGGAAGTGTCTGACAGCATAAACATCTCCCACCAACATTAGAACACTGTTCAGAGTTTGAAAGCATGGCCCTCTCCTTATTAAACATTCTTCTTGGAACCACCGAGAAAAGACCAAAAGACATTTACTTTATTGTCATGATACAGTATTAGCAGTACTGGGACAAATTCTCTTCTGCCCCTCACCTCCCTCCTCAGTCTATTAGTTTGGGTAGTGTAGTTTGCCACACACCATCACAACTGGGAACAAAACTACTGGGTACTTGAGCAAAAAAACTGCACTCAATGTTTTTAAATGCAATTTAAAGGCAAACAACTTAGTAAGTAGTCTTCAAGTCCTCATTGTCTACCTTTAATAAAAACTGACAGAAAACATAAAGAGGAATGAAACTTTAATAGGCAGAAAACTTACCTTAAGAACTTTTGCATTCACAGATTCTTTCTCTTTGTAAAAAAATCTAACCATCTGAATAGTCAGGTATGCTGGCAAGCGACTAATTTTGGACTGTAAAGAAAAAACAAATTAGAAAAAGCTATTACTTTAAATATTCACAGATTTTTTTTACCTTAAACACTGGTCATCCTAAATTCTATTATGTCTATTCTGGGAATATATTTGCACAGAAACCCACAGGAATAAAACAAGGTCTCCTTTTTTGAAGTTCTGTCTTAAATTTCCTGGTAGTGGATACTCAGATGCTTTATAAACATAAATCACATGGTGTCACAGCAATAACTTTGTGGCTTGGAACAGAAAACTGACAATTAAAGGAACTGTAAAGAGCAAGGAAAGTACCACTCACAGATTTGATATAGAGTGCATTTCTCTGCAGTGTTGGAGAGAGTTTGGTGATTTCCTCCTGAAGACGCTGTTACAAGAAAAAGTAACACATGTTCATCATAAAACACAGCTTAGAGAAAAGCACAACAGGGGTAAACAAACATAAACTAAATCTTGTTCTGCCAGTCTCTTCTGTTGCTGTCAGCCATTACAACACATAAGATTTTGAAATTCCTTGGCAGAAAGGACCATGCCCATTCATTCCTTCAGCTCCAGGCTCATTCCTGAGCCTTGACAACACTGAGTTTCTCTCTGCAGAAAATTCTGCCTCACAGGAGTAGAACTCACAATTGGATTTTATTATTAATTGTATCTGGACTTGGTTACAAATGTATTATATCATGCTTGGAACACAACTGAAGAAAATCTGAAGTTTCCTGTGAGAAGAATATTTGCACATCTCCCAGCTCTCAGTCTCAAGCAGCCAGAGCTGCATCTAAATTGACAGCTGGTGTCTCCTAACAAAATTCCAGGAAAGACTAGCTTGGTTCTTAGTGTTGCAATTCTCTTGCTCCAGGCAATCTAGCATAAGAATTGTAGATTTTTTTTGGCCTGAAAGTGAACTTTCTTTTTTTATAGTTTTTTTTCATTTGTGAGCATTAGCTATTTTATCCTACTTTTCCTTCTAAATTCTGTTAGGAAAAAATAGAAGACAAAGAGATACAAAGATTATCTGAGAATCACACAACTTGGGTTTTAGTCCTGTACAAACCAGATCACTGCCCTAGTCTTACACAGTTACTACAAAGGTTTTACAGTAGCTCCTCTCCTTTCTACTTCAGACTCCCCAAAAAGCCTTTACAATTTCAAAATACAAACATACATAAAAATAACAGAGGAGTTTTAATTTAAAAAAGTTTTAGAATTGTTATCTGATGGAAAATAACACCCCCATCAAAATCTGCAAAATCAAGTTTAGTTGTTACATCATCTGGTGAGGTTTTATTTAGGAACCAAAATGCCACCCTACTTTCAAGCTGACTTTTGGACCTTTTTGAAACTTATTGCTGTATAAATCATGATACTGCTGAGTCTGGAGCGAAACCCAGCTGAAGAAACAAGGAGCAAACTGCCTTGCACTTGGTTACCTGCAAGGGGAAGACCATGTCAGGGTCAAGATAATGCTCTCCTGAAGTCTGTTTGACATTAACATGCAATTCCCTTTCACAGCCACCTTCCCAACGAACACCAAAAGATTCCTGAAACTTTGTAAAGCTTGGACGGCAGACATCAATTCCAAGTCACAGATTAAATACACTTAGAATTAAGTGCATTTAGGTCACTTACAATTCCAACTGAAAAATATGCAGGCCATTTAGAATTTGAATTCAATAAAAGTTGCAATAGCTTACCAATTTTAGTCCTGTAAACAGGTATTTCACTTCTTGATTGATAAAGCAGCTAAGCTGAAGGAGATTCTCCTTTCCTTTAGTTACTTCTTCTTCTTCGGCTTCTGTACATTTCATGCTTCACAAAATTAAGGAAAACCATCATGCACCAAGAGCTGAACTCCTACTCTAGTGAAAAGAACATGCCAGGCAGCACAGCAATTTAGGTAATTATGTGCTTTGTGTAGACAGTACTTTTCCTTCTCATAGTACAAAAAAGATTTGAAGGAGCCCTTCCTTCAGACCAATCTGCTCCTTCCTGGCTAAGGACAAGGGGCAGCAGGGGCAGACAGCACACCAAAAAAAGAAAAATATGTCTTTGATCACCATTTAAGCTGAGGCCTGCTTTTTCTTTCTTCTCCCCCATCACCACCCAAGCCCCAGGACACAGAACACATTAACTGGCTGCCAACACCCAGTTACAAAGCTCTCCTCCAACATTACACTCTATTGTTGCTTATGATTAATAAAGTTCTTCTACTGCTGCTGCTGGCCAGACTTCCTGCTTCTTTCAACATGCAGAGCCTCCTTTCTCTGCCTTGTATCTGTTCTCTTCACTGAAATAAAATTAATTCCTTCATTATTTTCTACACATTTCTTTTAATTGTTCTGTCTGTCCTCTCCTCTTTTCATAGTTTTAGCCCAATGCTTTTCTCTCATCCATCTCCTTCCAATCAGGTATTTTTCTGACTGTAGCTATTCTACAAATGCTGCTGTAATTACACTTATAAAGTGTAAAACTCTTCTAACAGGTCTTCTTGCTGATACTGGTCTATGCATCATTCCTCTTAGCTACACATTCCAAGACTCCCAACTAATTTAAGGACAACAAACGTCACAGCAGAGGGAGAGAGATGCAAGATTCTTACCTTAAAAAAGGCCTTTATTCCTCATTACTACCAAGCCATGAGATACAGTACGTCATCTAAGGGGATGTTTCCTTATTTCAGACAAGCAAAATGCACAGTGTATAATTCTTTCTAAAAGTGGTGCTCAGTTTGATGACAGCCAGGATTTTGGGGTGGAGAAATGGGAAAAGAGTAATACTTGCCACGAGATGTGTGCCCCATGTGGTAATATCCTCTTTTTCTTGCTATAAAGAACCCACTAGAAAGCTGTCAGCTGCATTTATTTCTTACTCATACAACTGTGAACACCTAATTTATTTCTTAAGAAATCAATCAAGCTACCTTTTGTACATCTTTAGTATACCAGGTATGTCAGCAACACACCCTTACAAGCCAAAAAAGATGATTTAGGACAACAATTACTTTTAGATGGATAAAGCATGTCAGCACCCTTGAAGCTGCTAAGTACCAATCTTCTCTGGGGAGGAAATGTGCTACTGAAATTCAACAAGGGCTTTTTTTCCTGTAGATCTCCATTACCATTCTTTCTCCCCACATCATCCTCTCTCTCAAAGCATATCCAATCTTAAAGCTAAGTTCTGTGTACTCCTGCACAACATTATGACCCTCTTCCCCAAGCTACACCTTCATTTTCCATACTATTCTGAACAATGCTTTTCATCCTCCCTGAACTCAACTGCTAAAGTGTGAAATCATCCTTGTTTATATCTTGCCTTAGTCTTTAGGATACGCTGTTTCAAATTCAATGCTGAAGAATTGATCAATTAAACTCTTCTTTTTAGAGGATGCTGCTGTAGCTCCGGAGTCTGTCTGTAAAACAAAATCTCTTATGATGTAACTTTAAATACAACGTAAATAGTCTTCTCTACAGACTAAATAACCCCTTTTATTTAGATTCTTTAAAGCCTATTCCTTCATCTTTCTATAAGTGCATTTCTCCTAGTCAGTCAATCTTCTTACACAGCATAAAAGTTTCAAAATAAATATGCTTATAACATGCTGCTAAAACTGAAGCCCATTAACAAGCAAGATCAAAAATTCGTAAATCCCTGGCCCCTTAACTTAAATCTATCTAAAGTTTCAGGATAGTTTTCCAAGGCTCTGCCAAGACTCTCCAGAAAACAGTTGACAGAGAAAAGAGAAAGCTGTTCCGGTAAAATCTCGGCAAAAACATTGAGCAGTTTCTTGTATAAGGTTAACAGTTAAAGTTAAAACTGTATTATGATGTAACTTTAAATACAACGTAAATAGTCTTCTCTACAGACTAAATAACCCCTTTTATTTAGATTCTTTAAAGCCTATTCCTTCATCTTTCTATAAGTGCATTTCTCCTAGTCAGTCAATCTTCTTACACAGCATAAAAGTTTCAAAATAAATATGCTTATAACATGCTGCTAAAACCAATCTGAAGCCCATTAACAAGCAAGATCAAAAATTCATAAATCCCTGGCCCCTTAACTTAAATCTATCTAAAGTTTCAGGATAGTTTTCCAAGGCTCTGCCAAGACTCTCCAGAAAACAGTTGACAGAGAAAAGAGAAAGCTGTTCCGGTAAAATCTCGGCAAAAACATTGAGCAGTTTCTTGTATAAGGTTAACAGTTAAAGTTAAAACTGTAGCACACTTTTTTTCAGAAAAAAAAAAAAAAGTTCTTATGTGTTGAATTCACAGGTTATCAGGGCCAGCTGCCACATACATGAGAGGGGTTCACAACCAGCTTGGTGCAACACTGCCTTACACAGCCCTAAGGGCAAGGTTTCCTTTAGCACACTCCACTGCATCACTGACAGCACCATGGTAGCATTATGCTGATCAGAGACATCAGAAAGCAATTTCTCTATTCCAGACATATGTTAAAGAACTCACAAACAGGTAATACTTAAAAAAACATATGTGAAATACTATAAATCCTTATTCTGGTTAGAGTAAGACTACAATTACCTCCATAATTGTATCACCTTCTATGCCTTCCAGCTTCTGCTGTAGTACCCTCATCATCTGCACCCAGCACTCATTGGCATCCTAGGAAGGGAGCACAACATTAAATCTGACTACAAGCACTATGATTTAGTAACATTAAACCCATCAATTATAAAGCCAAACGTGAGGATTCATTAACTAAGAATTTCTCCCAACTGACCATGCATTCTCAAAATTAGCACTTGATATTACGTTCAACTTCTATGCAACTTTTCTACAGAAAAACCACCCCACTTTACTAGGAGCAATTATTTTCACAGGAGAAGGAAAGTCTTAAAATATTCTTGTTCTCAACTTCCAACATACTACAGAATTTTAAACAATAAGCTAAAAATTGGTCTTTACCTGTTGAAGGTACTGGCCTTGATCACCTTTCTCTGCAAACTGTGGGAAGGCCATATGTAAAAACTGCAGGAGAATGATAGGTGGGATACTGGAGGAAGTTTTATCCATGGAATCAAACAAGTCTCTAAGAGCTTGAAGAAAAAGTGAATGCTTTGAGAAGTGAAAAAACAATTCAAACACAGCAGGAAGTGCAAAAAGAACAGTAAAACAGCAACAACATTTAAAGACTGATCATTTAACAGTGTCCAATTTGATCTTTCCAAAGCAGAACCAAATTTCCAGGTGGCATAACACGTGCACCTATGATCTCCTTTCTGAACACAATTGTGAAAGTATAAAGAGGGCAATTCTGAGAATTGGGCTCATATTGCCTTTCCTGGCTGCTAACAGGAGAAAAAAAAAAAATTGAGCAATTAAGATTTTGTTTGGAATACATCTGAGGAACAACATTTTCACAAGGATATTGCCTTTCCTGGCTGCTAACAGGAGAAAAAAAAAATGAGCAATTACAATTTTATTTGGAATACATCTGAGGAATAGCATTTTCACAAGAGAAACCAGAAGGCATTCACAATCTTTCCTCTAGAGCAACTTAAGTTTCACCAGCTACCAGGAAAAAAAACTTTAATAAAATATCTAAGAAATACCCATGCTTAAGACCCAGGAAAACAAGTATGTGTATGCATGTGTGCAGAGAGCTCATAACTATGTGCAATCCAATGAATGATACTGGCTGCATGACAACACACATGGCTTTCTTTTTTATCCCATACTCTAGCATATGTTTTATCTACCCAAGTTACAGCATTTTAAATCCACAGATCACTTCAAAGGTACCTGTTAATCCTCACAACAACCCTGTGAGGTAGGCAAAAATCTGCATGGTCACTAATTTACAAGTGAAGAGACTAATGAATTGTTCTCTCCAGTAAGTGAATATAGGTAAGATTACAGGGAACCAAAGTCAGTTGCTTCCTCTTTTAGAAATGTCTTCACTGACCCTGATAAGAGGTCCAACTGACATGACACAGCAATTTAAAAAAAAAAAATGCCATAAGTGTCATGCAGGAGTTCCTGAACAGCTCAGGACTCAAGAATTAACTACAAATTACTTAAACTATTAAAATTCCTAAGAAGCAGAGCTGTCACCTTAAAAAGAAAACAAGGGACACAAAGTAAAGGCAGTGAAAAGGGGAGGGGCAGGCATGGCTGTATAGAGTAACCATTGAACTTACCACCCCAAAATTCGATCAGCAGGCATACCCACAAACTGGACCTTTCCTTCCTTATATTGTTTTGTTTTTCCTTAAATGGACTGGTAGAAATCCCAGTGTCCTGGCCCAGCATCTTAGTGGGGCAATGAAATAGAGTAAAAAAAGAAAAAGTGGACAAGTAGTACCCTTGTTCAAGTGTAAGGGGTCTAACTAGAACTCTAGTTAGAGCTTGAAGATACGGGGCCACTGTGAGCTCCCACAGTGTGAGCACCCAGACCACCACAACAAAGAGTAACTTCTGTTTTGAAGACTCTCCTTTCCATTCCAGTTAAGAAATCTGGAGCTTTAGGGCAAAGGCCAAGACCACTGATAAAGCATCAGTTTCCATCGTAACAATAATGCTCAGCCAATAAATCGTATTAAAAAACACCAATGAGATACATATCCCCAGGTGTATGGTGTTAGCCTACCACTACATGAAACAAAGAACTAAAGTATTTCTATACAAAGTGATCAAATCAATAGATGGATGGATGGAATCTGCTCTAGGAAGTTCCAATTATTTCATGCCTACATGTAAAACAATTAAGAGATACAAGTTGTTTCTATCTAAGCCTACATCACTCTGAAGTATCTTTTCCTTAGCCTGCAGCCTGATAATGTGCAGAGATAAATGCCTTGCAGGCAGGGGCAGAATAACCTTTAAAGACAAAATGAATCCTCCAGTGCCAGCAGGTCTGACATTCCTAAGGCATATGCACTAAAGAACAGTTTTAACTGCAAATTTCATCTGCAGCTAGCAGGAAATCACACACTTGTCTAAAGCCCTGTTTTCTACTCTGAACACCAACCTGCAGTAATGTACTGAGCAGAGGCCATTTCTCCTGAAGCTCTTAAGGCACCACCATACCTGAAAGGGAAGAAAAATAATTTGCATGCAATTAAACACAAACAGGAAGGACAGCTGGGTTTTTGAAGCAGGCAACAACTGGATTCATTTAAAGGAAATCTATCACCAAGCCAGAAGTAACCAAAGGTAAGATTCACTCACATTTACCTCAATGTTTCAGCTACTTTGTAAGAAAGGAAGCAAAGGAAAACGGGCATTTTTCAGACAGTAAAGGCAGACCAAGAAGTCTGGCTACATCACTGCTGCTTCCCTAATCCTTTTGCTCAAAGACTCGTTTTATTTTTAAAGAAACTGAGGAAGTCTAAACACAAGCTATGCCATTTCTGAAACATTTGCCATGGCCTCTTCAGATACATGGGAAAAAACACCTTCAAGGACGCCATTTCTGAAATATTCGCCATGGCCTCTTCAGATACATGGGAAAAAACACCTTCAACACCTATTTAAATAACAAGATGGCAGATGAAATGCACACAAGCTTGCTTCCTCCCTCCACAGCAGAAGTAAAACAGTGAGAGATGAGATGTTTTCTTGGGGAAAGTATTTCCTACATCAAAAAGGCACGGGAGTCCACCTGTATGACAAGAACTTACCACTCTTCTTTGAACTCCTAATTTAGCAGCTGGATGAGGAACAGATGGACTCCCCAAAGCCTTCAAGCCAAAGGAGGATTTCATATATTCTCTAATCTCAGACTGAATTTATGAAATTCTGACCATTGCTAGATGATGAGCAGGAAACTTTCCCCTGACATGCTACAGAACAGGGAGGAGCTCCTTGGGGAGATCAGCAGAGCAGGCTGCGAGGAAAGAAGCTTAACAGCTGTCCCAAGTGAGTCCTTTCACACCTCTCCCACTGCCATGCACCCTATAGCCTTCCATGCTGTCATCAAGCAGGGAAGACCAAAAAAAGGCTAAATCTCCAGGGAAAAACAGAGCTTGAATCCGAGTGTGAATCTGACTTCCCACAGACAATACGGCCACATCTTGTATTGCAGTCTGCCAGTTTCACAGGCTACATTTTGCTTTTTGAAGCAAATGTTCAATATTCAGATTCAGGGCCATAACTCAAGAGTCTTTCATACAGAAAGAAGCAGACTTTCCAAAAATGCTAACACTGATAGTGTTAGCATTTTTCAACAAAAACCCTGAAACCAAATTTCTGTACTTCATGAGTAGTTCTCAGTGCTTAATAATTAAGGTTCACCTGCTAACAGAATGAAAAACTGTTTATACCTATTTAAATAACAAGTGATTCTGTAATACAGACTATACAGCTGGGTACCACGGAATCAAGAAAGCAGGGCATTTTAAAGGAATCAAATGAAACCTAAGACAGCAATAATGCTCTACCTAACTCTCACTTTTTAAAAATACTCAATTGTTTTCTTATTACAATTCATCTGGAGGACAAATTCAGGCCACATTGGCAGGTATTCTTTTTTCCTTCAACATTCATAGCTTTCAAGTTTCTTGTATATTCCTTATTAAAAAAAAAAAAAACAACCAACCAAAAAAAAACACTAGCTATTTTCACATTTCAGTCTAGAACAGCAAAAATAAACAAAAACCAGAAAAGTTAACCTACAATCAGAACAAATTAGCATACAAAACAAAATTCCATTAAGATTTCTTAAAACTTCCTGCTGTACCTCCAAGTAGCAAATGTCAGAATTTCTCAGCTGAAAATACTGTGCAATAGAGCCATTGCAGGAAATATTCCTCAAAGGAACAGGACTTCCATATGATTCTTTTATGCAGAACAGGACCATAAAAACTAACAGCAAAAAAACAGGGTTAAGAGTTCAGTAGCTTATTTTAGAATTTTAAACTGGTCTTGATAGGAACTACTTTCTAGCTAAGCAAAACACATTCTCTCTATTAAAAGCCAGTTCCAAGAAACACAAAGCCTTAACTTCTTCATTAAAGTACACACACAGCCATAGGATAAATTTTAATTGATCATTCTGTTAATTTTGAAGAGACCGAAAGAGTAACAGATTGTCATGATAATCTATACCAGTATTAAGATGACCACTCTGCAAAATATCTACTTCATAAGCTAAAGGAAACATTTTAGTCACGGTATTTTTGTCCTACCTTTTAAGGGCCTCTTTCACTTCTGGCACTGAGCGGATACACTGAACCGTAGCATTCATGTAGCAAGTGTTGCCAAGGTTTGTCAATCCACATGGCAATTCCATCTACCAAAAAAATTCACAAGGGTGCTTGAAGGTCAGAGAGAAGTGGCAACCATTTCTGCACAAATACTATAATGTGACATTAACGTCTAAGCACATGAATTACGCATAAAACCCGGATTATTCCATCAAACATTATGAGGATTTCCAGATTCACTTTATGATTGTATTTATCATTACACCATTTGATACTTTTAGGGAACATTCAGGAATGCTTTGGGGTTTTTTCTATGCGTGTTTAGTTTAACGAATATGTTCTTCAAGCATGCAATTATTCAGAAAGTTCAACTCTAATCCCATTCAAGTTTTGACCTTAAAATTCTATTTCCGTGAAATTTCCACATGAACACATTTGTACAAAACACTGATGTTTTAATCAGAATCAGTTTTCAGTAAAACTCTGAAAATGATGGAGTTCATAGTTGGAAACAAAAGCATTGTTTAAACTCCTCTCCAGAAATTTGCAACAGGTCATTAACTTGATCTTTTCAGGCAACTTGTGAATTTCTGAAGTTTTGATCAATGTGAAGGCCAACTAATAGTAAGCTAACCAGTTTCAGAAATAACTATAAATCACCATGTAATAGAATTTTTCTTTTTCTTTAATCCTGAATACTTAGGTATTTGTCAGGGAAAAACACATAGTTTAATGAAACCGAAGTCGTACTGCATACTAATACCAACAAATTATTTTAGGAAGAGAGAACTCATTCATCATATCTCACAACTGAACACATGCACTGCAGACAACTGAATTTTGATGTGTAACAAAATTTCCATGTGACCAACTTTTTCAAAATGTTATCTGACAGTGAAATCATGTCCTTGCTTGCCTGTCAGTTATCTCAATGTCTGTGTATGGGGTTACTCCAAAATACATAGATACCCTTCACCTGCAGGTGGCCTGGAAAGCACTAAATCCTGAAGCAAAAACCCAGTGCTGAACTACAGATCCTTTTTCATACAGACATGCATAAAAGTATTTCTGTTCTGCATGCACAGCTGACAACAAACAAACAACTGTTAAGTATGACAAAACTTGCAGTTCAAATGACTTGTGAGAAAATTAAGGCTTTCAAGTTGTAAAAGAGGAAATTCAGGAGTTACTTCATTAAGAAAATAATAATTTTGCTCTTTCAGACTTTACATCCACAAAGCAAAACACGTGTCAAACTTAGTTTCGTTTTCCACGAAGCTGACTCAATACTAGTAACATGGACAAACAAAACCCCAAATACACCCCGCCCCAAAACAAACCCTAGTTTCTCCTCACAGATATGAAAGAGGTGGGAAAAAAATTGCCTATCTAAGAGGTCTTGTTTAGACAAAGTAGAGGACACTGATGCAGTACGGGCAATAAAACTTCATCTTTAAAAACATCAGCAATGCTATTTTCAGAAAATCTACTAAGCTGCCTGCTCAAAGGAAAAACAGCACTAATTGTATGACTTTTAAATTAAATCCCAGATTTCTTTTCACTGCTCCCAGTTTGGTCATCAACGTGAATTTGTGATTCCTGAAGATGCTAAACAGACACTACAGTTTCAAAACCCACTTTTAAACAACTGCAAGTATTTAAAAGTTTGCCATTACTCAAAGGTTTACAAGAAAGTGAAGTTGCAAACATGCTTACAGCTGAAGCCAACTGCTCCTCTGTCATGTCCTCCACGAAGATGGGGCGAGCAACCGGCTCTTCTGGCAGCGCGTCAGCGGAGCCCATCATTAGTAAGGTCATCCCCTGGAAACACAGTGAAAGCAGCAATGAATGGCTAGGGACACTTATTTCCACTCAAACCCTTAAGCTCTTAACATACTTCAGCTATTTCCCCAAAAATAAACACAGCTGATTTATTTATTTATTTATCTCTTAGTTTAACAGAACCAATACACTGCACTACTGTGACTTCAGAGCATACCTCAATTCCTCATATCTAGGAAGTACCTATTGAAACAACTCCACAGAATTATCCATGGTAGATGTTTCCACTGAAGCATCTGGTAAGGCTAGTGAGCTTGCCTGGCAAGTTCTGGGTTAAACCAGTTGAAAAGTGAAAAATAACCTAAGCTACCACATCAGTTTAGACATGAGAACTAACATTTATGGGGTAAAAAAAAAAAGTCAATCAGGTTTCCATGCTTGCTGAACTAGCATAATATGAAAATTAGTCTTTTACTATTCAACAGGAGCACATCTACACAATAAGATCTGTCAAAGAGGAGAAAATTGCTATCTGGAGACTTGAAACATACAGTGCTAAGGAAAAGGATGAACAACAGAATGAAGAGAAACTGCTTTGACAGTGTAAATAAATCCCTAGAACTTGTATATAACATTATTAAAATGAACAAAAGCAGCTATTAGCACAACCACATGCAGAAAAAGACAAGAATATTATGTACTGCATCTTTTGCTGAATAACTTTGCTACAATAGCTACAGCTAGAGGCTGCTAACAGACACTTGCAAAATAGTTACAAGGGAAAGAGCAATGCTCCCTAATTCAATTTCCCCAGTGAAGAACTGGAGTAAAACCCGTAAAGCTGCTACAAGATGTTACAAGAGACGTACAGTAACGAAAATGACACAAAAAAAATCCCCAACAAAAACCTGTGGGATTCCCTGATGCAATATTATACTTGCAAGCAACATAAACACAAACACTTTCTGGTTTCTTTTTGAACTAGCTGAAGGTATGAATTACCATTACTAATGGTAATTTTGTTTAAAAACAGCACTGTTTAACAGAGGAGAGCACATTTCAGCAGGCTGGTAAAAAAGGACTTCAGCAGAGGTGTAACTTCAGCATCACCAAAACATCTGTCCATGCTGGAGATGTGCAAGGACAAGGGTCTGCACACAATGCCCAGGTTCACCAGATCTCTCTAAACATCATCACTTATTTTTATGGTCACAGATAAAACAGCATTGCTTTGATCCCGAACATTTATTGTCTGGAATAAATATATGCACTAAAGTACTCCAGAAAAGATGGTAAGAGCTCCCTACTGATGCAAAAAAAGAAGTTGCTTCATAAATCAGTGGTGAGACCTTTCTAAGCAGGCTTACACATGACATTGATAAAATTATTTTTCATCAAGGTATAACTTTTTTAGATAGCACTGCCCATTCAAACAGAAACAGGAAGCATTTTGAAGTCTTTCTTTAAATGCCAAAATAAAAAATTAGAATAGTAAAATTTAGTTATTGCTCAGAACTTACATTCTTTATTTTTAGGTTTCCCCAGTCATCATCCTGTGAAATAAAAAAAAAGTTAAGTTAATTATCTTGTAGCAAGATACTTGTAGCAAGTCTTTTCATTAATATTAATCACATTTCTAAATATACAATTGCGTTTCATCCAAGGTTACACAATATTAACTATTTACATGTTATCAAGTCTTGTCTGACTAAAATAAAAAGCAGCCAAGTTATGTTTTCAATAAGGTTTCTCATGCGTTGTTCAACATTGCTTAAATGTAAGGCAATTTTGCTGCAAAAAGTTGCTATGTCTCATTACACCACTAAGTCTCCAGCACAGAAGCACCCAAGAATTTCTATTGAACAAGCTAGAAAGAAAAAACCTGCATTCAGATTTTGAACATAAAAAAGTAACAAAAAAAAAAATCTCACACCAAGCTGTGTTTTGTATAAATAAGTCAAGAAGTGCAGTCAGTTTAACACATACAACCAAAGACCTTCCGGAGGAACACCCAGAAACATCGTCACTGTTCATGTTAACACATAACAAAGTTAGACATAATATAAAAAATTGATTTCTACCTTCAGAGTTCCTCCTTTAACCATAACCTTCTGTCTGGCAGGCTGAACTCCAGTCAGTGCAAATAACTGGGCTTTGAAGACCATTGGAGGCTCGTCAGTGTTCAGCTCCACACCATCGAATTTCTCTTTTCCCCATTTCACATTCACTGCAAACAAAATGTTTTGAAACTTGATTATTTCCTAATACTCAAGAATGCAATTACCAAGATTACCAAGACTTCACACAGTCTCAAAATATTCTGTTTTCAGCTCTTAAAATTGTTAATAATGAAGCCAAGGAACACCTTTACTATATGGCACCTCATCCATCAGAACATACCACTTCCAGCAGATCTAAAAATATCCAACAAAACAAGTCTGAAGTAACATGTATACTGAGAATCTCTGCAAGCAGTAAGTGTGTCTAGCAGCAGGAGAAACCCTTCAGTGGGTCTTCAGAAAAGCAGTCTGGAACTAACTCTCCCATTCTCTTGGCACTGCTTGTTGCAAACAACTGAACTTTCTGAAGGAAGTTCAGAGGTGCGATTCCAGCTCAGTTATCCACAGCACTTCCGTTCTCCTTCAGAGGAAAACAATACACTGTTCTTTAAAAGCAAGGCTACAGACCCCAGTAAGGGTGCAGGACTGGAATTAGGAAGCAAAGTGAAATTTGGTCACAAAAAGTGTAAACCTTGATGCAGGAAATGGGATCATTAGCAGAAATGGGAGGCAGAATGGCACAACGGAATGTTAACTTCACTTTGGTGAGATTAGTAATGACCAACAGCAGACAAAAAATGCCTGGAATAAGCTGTGTGCCTCTACAGTGACCAGAACAGTGACACACCTTTGACCATTTCCAAGAACTAACACAGTTACATAAGGCTTCCTTAGCAAGCTGAAATTTTACTGAAAATCTGTAAAATACAGCATGCAGCAATATCCTAAATGCACAGTAAGTGGCTGAAATACCAGACTTTAGGAAAGCCTCATCCTTCTACCTCTGCTTTGGTTTTACATAAATATATTACAGCAACCATACCTTTTCAAAACACAAAGCTCTTAGAAGTCATAATTTTGAAAACCCTTCCAAAAAGGTTCAGATTTCAGATGTTTGCAATGCTTGTGATGCATAATATCACAGAATAATCAAAAGCAAGTCTAAAAGAGCTAGGCTAAATTAGTCTACAAAGGAACTCAAATTACCAAATTTTCAGTATTTCTAATAGAAAGCATCTTCTGTTTTGCCCAACATTCCAATTCTTTTAAAAACACATTTATTATTTTGCATATTTAAGATCTACAAAGCACAAGGCAACCCACTCAGTCACTGAAGCAGTCAGCTGCACAGACTTTTGGGTTTTGAATTTTTGAACAGTCATGCTTCCACTGCTAAATATTCAGAAGAGTTAGCAATTATTAATCTGTAGTGTCGCTGCTTTTGACAATGCAGCACTCAAGAAGAAGAATGGAAGAGCATGACTGTCTTCTCTTCAGAGATTGCAACCAAGATTTCGTGCAAAACAAAAGAGAAACTCGTTAATTTGAAAACAATGGGAAGTATGAAAAAGGAAGAAGGTATTTTCCCTGCTGATCAGAACACACAGCACATACAGAATGGGTCAGGTTGGAAGGGACCACAGAGGGTCATCTCATCCAACCTCGCTGCTCAAGCAGGGCCATCCCAGAGCACAAGCCACAGCATTGTGCCCAGACTATTCCTGAGTATCTCCAGTGAGGGAGACTCCACTAGATTTGGATGAGTTCAGGAAAAATCATTAAACTGACATAAGGATGCCGGTTTGCTAACCACAGCCAAAACAAGCTGCGTACCGAGGCTGCACACAACCTAAAAAATTGAAAAGCCCAAACAGGCCAAATCTGTGAGACATTATCAAGGCAGTAACTGGTCCCAGAAGTGTCACTGGCGGCTTTGCTTTTGACGTCTTTCACAGAAACCTTTCCTAACAGCAAGAAGGGCCAGCAGGATGAGGTACAATTTAAGAAAGCTTTAATTTAAGGTTTAGGCTCGACATTAGGAAGAATTTCTTCACAGAAAGGGTGATGAGACACTGGAATATTCTGCCCACGGAGGCGGTGGAGTCGCCATGCCTGGAGGTGTTTGGGAAAGGGCTGGATGTGGCATTCAGTGCCCTGCTCCAGCTGACACGGCGGTGCCTGGTCAAAGGTTGGACCTGGGCTTTTCCAACCCAAGGGAGCCTGCAGGATATACTGGATTTCCAAGAGCGGAGGCAGACACACCTGGAAGGCGCAGATGCAGCGCTCTGGCTCACCAGAGGGACAGCACCAGGTCCCTTTCAGCAGGAAGCCAGCGCAAGCCGAGACAGGGCAGTGCCGCGGCACGGCGGCCCGTCACTGACACCCGCCCTCCCGCCGGCAGGGCCAGGCCAGCGCTGCCTCCCTGCTTCCCTTCCCTTCCCCGCTCCCCTTCCCTCGGGCCGCGCCTCCGCGGCCCGGCCGGGCTGGGCGCGCACGTGCGGCCGAGCGGCGGAAGCGGGGCGGGAGCAGTGCGCGCGCAGCGCCGGAACGGGCGGGGCCGGCGGCGGGAGCGGGCCCGGCCTGCAGCCCCTGCGGGCTCTGGGCACCGCGGGCCGGGTCGGGGTCTGGAGCGGGCTCGGCCCGCAGCCCCTTAGCCCGGCGGGCCCCCGACCGCCAGGATGAGGTGCAGGCGGTGCTGGTGCCGCGGGCAGGAACGTGGGTGTGGAGGGCGCGGGGCTGGAGCGAGAGCGTGTCCGGTTCGGGGATCGCCGGTGCAGCAGAGACAGGGGCTCTGGAACGGGTCTAGAGAAGGGCAGCAAAGACGATGAAGGGACAGGAGCATTTCTGTCACGGTGACACGCTGAGAGCTGTGTTCAGCCTCGAGAAGAGACGACCAGAGAGGCCTCATCAAGTCACGGTGACACGCTGAGGGGCCTGTTCAGCCTCGAGAAGAGACGACCAAAGAGGCCTCATTAGTGTGTATAAATATCTAAAGGCAGGATGGAGCCAGGCTCTCCTTGGTGGTCACAAGCAATAGGGCAAGAGGCAACTAGTGGCAGCTGGTGCACAGAAAATTCCACCTGAACACAAGAAAAATGTCCTTATTGTATGGGTTACCCTGCACTGGAACAGATTTCACAGACAGTTGTGGAGTCTTTCTCACAGGAGATATTCAAGAGCCACCTGGATGCAGTTCTGTGCAATGTGCCTCAGGATGACCCTGCTTGAGAAGGGAGGTTGGATAAGATTGGGGTTGGAGGTTGGACCCACTGTGCTCCCTCCCAGCCTCACCCATTCTGTGACTGTGATTCAATGAGAGCTGAACTGGGCTTTTGCACCCCCAGGGATCTGCCCAAAAGCTGTGATTGCACAAGGCAGGGGAAGGGAGGCAGAAAAAATAGAAAGGCTCTTGTGGATGAAATAGGTTTATAGGCAAGGGTGAAGTAGGAACTAAGATTATCAACATAAGGACTTCATTGGGAGGAGAGGAGATGAGTAATCAACCAGCAATGTAAAATAGGCTCAGTGATAGATAAGGAGCACTGAAGGATGGGTGTGATGGCAAGAGCCAGGAGCCTTCAGTGTGATAAACCCCAAGTCGTAAACATTGAAACCAGTAGACGTGGAGACCTGAATCTCAACTGCTTCTACAAAAACTCTTGGTATTTGGATGTGGTTAAAGAAACCCAAGCAGTGCTTTAAGATGTAAGGGAGAGAATGAGACAAGAGAGAAGCATCCCTTCCTTGGACCCCTCCTAACTTGCACCTCCACAAACCCAATGCTCCTCTGCTGCTCACAGCTGCAGCTGTGAATCTGGCACAGCTTACACCGCTGTCTGGTTGTTGGTGTGTGCACTTCTGGCCATACTTTTGCCAAAGAATTGATATCCTAAACAAGAAGGATCTTTTCCTTGCTGTTGCCCAAATGTGATTTTCAGTTCCAAACCGCAGAAAAATGAAATATAAAATGGCCATAGAAATAATCCAGGGTTTGAATGTAAGCCTTAAGGTGAAAGGCTTAGAAATTTCTGTCTTTTCAGTTTGTCATGGAGAAGAACAGGAAAAGTTGATTTTATTGTCCAGTGTAGGCTTCTAGATGGGACAAGGAGGTTTGGGGCAGCAAGGATTACATTTCACAGAGAAGCTTCAAAGGGTGTTATCCTGAAATTTTGCTGCATTATCCTGGATCTTGAATTAAGATGAAGTTTACAATTACTAAAACGATTTAATTGTTAAAATTGACCAGCAAAAGTGATGAATATTTTGTTACTTGGACTTGCTGAAAGAAGCTTTCTAGAAAAGCTTTGATCCAGCTCTAGGGTGAGACCATCTATTCAAGAGACAGCAGATCCCAGCTGCCTGCCTGTGAATTTACGTGGGGGATAACTCCAGTCAGATGTTTTGCTCTTTATACCAAAAGTGACATATGTAGAGTCACTTTTACTTGTGCCAGCTAAATGGAATGCTCTATGTTCTGAAGCTGCACTGAATCCTTCCCTTATGAGAAACCCTTAGCTGATCAGGGCTCAGGCAGTCACAGACCATGCATTTCCAGAATTTGGGAAAGGCACTAGAGGGTGCTGTGCTGAAGGAGAAGAAACAGGATTTGTATCAGCAGGAAAAGCCATCCCGACCTCTGCAAGGTGAAAATCTCCCTCTTTTTTCCTCTGAGACCGTGTAGGCCTCTTCCTGCAGTAACAGCCGTGTGCCTTTTTCCTAAGGGAGGGGGTCAACAGGTGCTGGTTTTCCTGAATCTTACACAAACTGACATAAGGAGTATCGACGTCGGGAGACAAAGAGTGTAGCCTGATGTATAAATACAAACTTAATGACATTAAAATTGTAAAAGATTGGTTGAGCATTATTAAATGCATCTTTTTTCTTAGTAAAGACAGGCCCCAGGGGAACCTTGGGAGGGGGCATGGGGACACTAGAAGTGTCCCCTAGCTGTGTCTCTGTGGCCTGTGACAGGGCCATCTGAGCAGGGCCCCTTCCCATCCTGAGCTGGTTGGATACAGGCCAGCTTGGATCCAAAAGCTGGGGCTGTGTCATCAGCACTGTAGGGCATGTAGGCCAACAGGCCTGGCAGGATTTATGAGTGCTGGAGGATGGCTCAGAGCAAGTCCAGATCTGTTTAGAAAAGGTTTTTAATGCTGTGGAAGCTCCTGGGG